TCAGCGGTGTGCGCGAGTACCGGCGCTGGCGCGCGGCATTCCGCCGCGCGATGACCGATCTTCCGGCAGCGGAAGCAAGTGAGCGGGCGATTAGGACGGCCGTTGGGCCCACGAGAAGTCGACTGGCGATGATTATTCGATGTGATAATCGCGTCGATCTCCATGGGCTCGGGGGCTGACTCACGAGCTGCCGTTGACATCGCGCGCGGGTAAGACGCCGCCACAACGTAGTCTTCGCGTAACGCGAGGGCGAATGCTTCCTCGAGAGAGGAAGGTTCCGCTCGGGTCAGGCAGTACCGTGTTATGCCTTCACGCATGCCGAATACGAATACATGGACCTGCGATGCTGCGTCAATCGGATTTGTCACGATGCATGACGCGAGGTGGCGAGTCTTTTGAACGTAGTCGCGCATAGTCATTTTGCCCTGACGAAGGGCGAAGAACTCGGCACGCACGCGGGATTCGTCTTGAGGTGGCTCGAACGCGAGCCTGAGATCTTTCTGGAGAGACTCCAGAGTGGGGAATGCGTCGTGATCAACGACAAGTTTACCGAGGGCCCATTCCTTGGCCTTCCCGGACAACCGGGACAATAAGAAATTGACCTTTGTCCCTTGCGCTTCGATCATTCTCGAAGCAATCGCGATGTCGACCTCGCGAAACCACCGGTTCAGCGGGAGGCGATTCGCTCCTTCACCGGAGTAGGTAGACGTCTCTAGCTTCACGACATCATTTTTCGAGGAACGCGCGGGAGTTGTTGCTCGCCGATTCGCATCGGCTAGCTCGCGTTCCATGAACTCTTGGGCTGCTTGGCGTTGTTGGTCGGACGTCGCTGAGCTCAGCAGCGACGCGATTACAGCCTCACCAGACACCGCCGCGAGGCGGTGAAGGGCTTCCCACTCGACACGAGTGAGATGAGGGAAAGCAGCATGTTCCAGGGTCGGCCCTGGAGTTTCAGACGTCATACCTTGGCTCATCGTGAACTTGGTCATGGGAAGGACTACAAAGTGCTACCAGGTGTAACGGGCCTGGGGTGTCCGTTACTTGCTTACACGTAGTGATGAGGAAGCGTACAAGTTCAGTGATACTGAAACCAAGTACTTAGTCTGAAGGAAAATCAACTCTGTTTTTATTTAGGTCCAGGGCAGCTTACCCTGACCACTCAAATACACGTCAACTCCTTATTGGTTGATTATGGGTCTGGCTCCCCATATTTCAACCAATAAGGTGACGGCAGTTCAGCACACGCTACTCGTGTGCTGCTGCACCTACTTTTGTAATGCAAATCTACCTACTTATGTAATGGTGTGAACCACTACAAAGAACCTATAAAACTACCTACATATGCAACTTGGGAGAGCCTATTACAAACAGCTGCAGCCGAGACGGATGGTCCAGAATGTACGGATCTCAGCTATATCGGATCTGAAGGAGTTCACGGGCAAGGATCAAGACGAAGACCGAGCGCGAACATGGATCAGCAAAGTCAAGCCAGCCGTCATGAGAGATCAAGCATCAGATGCAGAAAAGTGTCTGACATTTGCGGACTTGCTGGCGGGGCCAGTCAGAATCAGGTATCGGCAGCTGGGCAGATCCACTAGGAACAAGTGGCCATATTTGCTACGTGGTTTCCAAACGCAGTATCGTGGATGGGGGGTGATGGTAGCGCGACAGTACTACCATGCTCGCCGCCGATCGGACGAATCCCCGCTAGAATACTTCCATCGGCTCAATGTGGCCGGTCTACGGGCCAAGTTGAAGGTCAAGGATGGGGAATCCAAGGTACTACGGGAACATGTGGATCAGTTCTTCAAAACCTTGGGAGATGCTGATCCGGGCGACAGGTTGACCCTGCTACGACTGCCAGATGCCGACGTACTCGAAGAAGTGCTGCGGGTAGTGGATCGCGCGACACACCGCCAGAAGAAGGCGGCTGTCGGATCTGGCAAGTATCGTCAAAAGGCTCCGACACACACGGCCCCAGACCGACGGGTCCACCAAGTCAGGGCGCCCGACGCAGTAACTGAATCTGGATCTGGTGGATCGGACTCCGATCCGGAAGATTACCACAGAGTCTGTCTCACCGCTCCCAACGATCGTATGGCAAAGACTGGCGATGACCCCCGAGCTGTGGATTCCTTACCCGGGGGTCGTGGGATGCACCGATCCCGAGATCTCATCGACGGGACAGGACAAATCTGGTGCTCGCAATGTGGATCCCGGAAGCACACAGAAGCTGGATGTTGGAAACATCTGGTTTGTGAGAAGTGTGGCAAGAAAGGTCATCCCGAGGATCACTGTTTCTACGTGTGGCGGGGTTGCGGCGATATCCACGATGCTGACAAGCGCCCGATGGAAGCGATCTACAGCCAGATCCGCCAATGGTTCAATCCAATTAAACACAGAGGGATGTTGCCCGAGGTGACAGAAAAGGTTTTAAGCTAGGACGCTCGCCGGGTTGGAATCCGGTACGAGCCGAGCGCTCTATGTTACTGCATCTATGCATTTGTGAACAAGACGTCGCTAGATACAGGTAGCAAGCTCCTAGATCCAGTCGATAAAACACGTGATCTACCTGAAGTGTCAGTTGCCAAGATCTCTAACTTACGCCAAGTAGACGAATTTTCCAGATCCGATTTTACTTCGCTCTTGGATCTACAGAGGGAAAATCACGCGGTTATTGGGAGAAACAGCAACATGGGCCTACAGGGAACACGCTAAAGTCCATCAAAGATTGATTTTTTTTATCAGTACTGGGCTTTTGACGAATCGTATGCGCCCGTAGATAGCTTGTCTACTGGGTAAACAAATCCGTCCTCACGACGATGCTGGAGCGATCGACACCACTTATAACACAAATAACGTGCTGTACAAGCTCTTCAGCTTCATAATTCACGACATGTTTAGACATGTAAGTACCGCCGTTATCAAATCTGTTTCATGTTGTGACCTGATACGCTAATTGTGGTGTCTATATCGTTGCTACTCGTTGTGTGACTGGTGTATGTGTGAGTCTATGTTCCCTCGTGGCTTTGTGGGATCCGATAACGATATTTTCCAAATCCAAAACGGGGTCAGAGGGCAGAAGAGCAGTCCATTCGTATGCTAATTATCCGGCTCTCCAGAGTCTGGTCGATGGACTTGACGCGCGGAGCGCTGACTCGCGACGTCGGCCCGAGAGCTGGTTCGGTGCAGGGATGGCATCTTACCAGGTTATTGCCCATTGCGATCACGGTCGTCACCGTCTGAATGGCGGCCGCCATCACAGCCATGTCCACGTGGTTGTTTGGTGCTGTACCGCCGCTCGCAGCGGCACTAGTCATCAATTCAGCACCGTGTTGTGCCTCGTCGCTGCCTTGTTCATCGGGTTCTTGATCCTGGGCTCCCCAACAGCTTCATCATCAGGCACACGACGCTCTCGCTGTACTCGCCATCGGTATTCCCCACGTGCACGCCCATGACGTCCTTCCTTGGCAGCTCCAAGGACCTCCTTTGCTGACGCTTCTTTTTTAGCTCGGCTACCGCCCTAGTCAATCGCTGCATTGTGGCTGCCAACCCCATCATATTTTTACTTTGCACCACTGCCGCGTCTTCGCCACTCTCCTCCGCTTCGCGGCCATGCGTTTAGTCCCTCTCATCGGTGGCTATGACCCGTCCGGGCTCCTTGGTATCCTTGTCCTTCGAGGTCGACCGCTGCTAATTCACCGACGCCCTCCGTTTGATCTTCACCGGCTTCGCTTCAGACTGATTCGTCGCTTGTTGCCGCTTGCCCTCTCCCGTGGGCTCGTCGTGGCGGACACCCTCCGTACGCCTTGGCTTCTCGTTACCGGATGCCCGGACTCGGATTCCGTGCTGCTGGGTGAGCTCTCTGCTCCAGCCTTCCTGACTTGCCGTGCCTTCTGTGCTTTCTTACTTAGAGTAGTGACTGTACCATTTGCGTACCCCGTAACCTTTGTAACCCGGCGTAGCCACTAGCCCGACTGCCTGCCTGTCTTTCCGATCTCTCTTTGTCTTTCTTATCACCGCGAACCGACTCTTCGTTGCTCTGAGACAGGCCTCTGTATGATCACATTGTAACGAGTTGCTATTCCTCCTGCCCGACTCGCTGGGCAAGTCGTATTGCTTTTGTGCCTGTCGTGCTGTCTGTCCCTTTTCCGTAGTTGATACTCGGCAGTACTAGAAGACGTCGCTTGCCAACAGATGCTTCACTGAGCCCTGTGCCGGAACCCTTGGCTCCTACGTTTTGTATTCCTTCTCCTTAGCTAATCTTACGTAAGCTAACAGAGATTCGCTCTTCGTTGCGCTCTTCTTTCGTCTTCGATGAGCAGCTAGTCTCCAGTCGGGTCACCCACGTCCTCGCCGAAGCACCGTGACGTCCCGATGCGATCCAGATCGCGCTCATCCCTTAAGCCCCTTGGGTGTACGCCCACGGCGCCTACCCTCGGCCACCACAGCAAGCTCGGGTACTCTGCTTCCCCTGTCTGGTCTCACCGTACGTCGCTTCGCTCGTCCATACACTCCCCTCCTTGGATCCTGCTTGTCCTTCGTCTTACGGCACTGCAGTGTGTCTACCACAGCCCCCGTACGTCCTGTCAGACACACTCTGTGCCTCAACAGCCTCTTCGTCGTCTTTGTATTGGCGTTGACTGTGCTCCCAGCCCTCGACTGTCTTTCGTCTCTCGACACCCCCTCAGTCTACTTGTCTCGTCCTTCGCAAATTCAGAAGTCCCCACCTCCTTACTCTTCTTGCCGTCCAACGTCACCGGTCGCGACTGCTCGCCGTCTGCGATCTCCGTCTTAACCGTGTGTCCGTTGAGTCCGTTGGGCTCCTTCCACCCTTTGATCGTATTCTTCCCACGTTGAAGCTGGCTACGTGCCAGCTGACACTCTACCGGAAGATCATTGGTAGACCACGTCATCAACTTGTTACAATTCCATTAACGCCTGAAAAGTACTTCGAAGAATCAGAGAGAGAGAGAGAGAGGCAGACATTCTATTTAATCTTAACGACGACTAGCTGTCTGGTATTTCCTAAGCCTGGTTAGCAACGCCGGTTCCTCTTGCGAGTCCGGTGGTTGTACGGGGCTCACCCGCTGTCTCGGGTGCTCTCGTGGTTTTTGTTCTAGTACCCGCAGGCATAGAAGTAAATAAGTTCCTCGCAATTGAGTCTCCGGTTGTCGGCATTCACGTTTCCCCAGCGCTCTCAGCTGACGCATTGCCGTCCCCCAAAATTCTGTCGCACTGGAATCCTCTGTCACCTGGGCTTGTTGAAAGACGACCCTGTTGCGCTGTGTCCACAGGCTGGTAAGACAAATTGTGCACAGGATATGCCAGATGCGTTTCCATTCCCGTATGATGTGCTTAATGTCGTCCGGGTATGTTTTCTGCATCTTCTCCACTAATGAGGGCGATACGGGAGGCGATTTCCTGTTCGCGCAGCTCAATAGGAAGTTCTCGATGTTTTGGGGCTCCCATGCTTCCCCAGTCCACTGCTGGATGAGCTTCACCCAGCAAGCCTGGGCGCAGGAGCACATCCAGAAGATGTGCTCCATCGTTTCCTTTTGCCCTTGACATACTGCTAGTTTTCTGCAACTGCTGTCATGTTTCTTGCCTTCGTGGTACAAGTTGAGCTGCCGTACCGCAACTCGATACGCTACCCATACTTGATACTCCGTTAGCTGATTTCTGTGGGCCCAGACTTGCTTTGGCGTCTGGTGCATCGCTGCGCGTTGCCAGGTGCTTCCGGCTACCACCTCGTGAAGTCGCTCTACTGGTCGCTGAAGCTGTTCTACTTCATTGCGTTACCGTTTAAACGGCTGCTGCTTAAGTGCTTTCAGCACATGGTTATTCGCGATATTTTCTTGAACATTCCACGGACAACTGTGGACGCTGGGGTGAGCATAAAATACTACCTTTCCTGCTGCTCCCAGTGCTTGGAGCACTCGTATGTCTGCTGATGTGCCTTCTCCTCCGTAATCTGCTCCAACTGGAGTCCAAGCCAGTCCGTTGCTCTGCTGTTCCAAGGTAATACTGGCTCCCGCCGCCGACCCCACGACGACCGTGCCTATTGCAAGGCCGTCCGGTTGCCACTCCCACCGATATTCATTTTCCAGTTCTGGCGGGTGTCGTAAAGTGAGCTCTTTCGTAATTGCCAATGTTGCTCTCATGGGTAGGGCCGGGGCGTTTATCAAGATCGCCAGACCCCACCTCCGTAGCTTTGCCTGTTGGTGCTCCTCCTCCCCAGCGACCGGTATGTTGAGGGAGTACGTTTTCGAGCTTATTCGTGTGATCTGAAGCTCTTCCAACGTGCAAGGTTGGATTCGGTTGAACTTCTTGGTACTCAGGGTTCTGCCTACGTTATCGACAATCCACGGGTTGTCATTCCACGTGTACGCCGGCCAGTAGAGTTCTTCTTGTGTACTCATTTCGCGTTGTGTACACCCGAGCTCCCATGGTAGCTCGATGATCCACGTCCCCGCTGCAGTCCAACTGATCGATTCTAGCTCTAGTTCATTCAGCGCTATCTGGTATTCCAGTATAGCCTCGCCTTCCAACTCTGCGGTGGGTTGAAAACATTCACTGACTAGCTGGTGTAATTTGTCTCCTGGTGATACTCCCGCTGAGTGCAAGGGTCGTGTGAGCTTGTTTCTGGGCGTAAGTGTATTCTCCCAAGCAAGTGATGTCCCTCGGAACATCCAATGCTTCCACGCCTGCCAGTATGAGTCTTTGCGTTGGACTAGCCAGAGGATCGTTTGTTTTACCCTCTGGGTCTTGCACGCCACCGGGATTGAGACGAGTCCCATTCCTCCTGCCTGTTTAGGAGCGAAGACTAGGCCTGGAGCGACCTTGTGACGAGTACTCTCTGTTGCCGTTGCATGCCTCCACAGAAATTATTTTTGCAGATTCCTAAGTTGCTTGTCTGCCCAGTTAGGCATGTCGAAGGCCGCTGCTGTGAATAGAACCGAGGGAAGCATAATGACGTTCAGGATGGTGATCCGATGGTCGATGCCTGTTCCCAACTTCGTTGCCGTTGCTAACCGTCTTTGGATGTTGCGAATCCTGCCTGCCCAGTTGATGTCTGTCAACGGCCCTGTGCCCACTTGATAACCCAAATATCGGACGGTGTCACCTCGTCTAAGGACCGGTAGGCCGAAGAACTGGTGTTCTTCGATCGCCTTGTTTAAGAAGATGAGCTGACTTTTGGCTGGTTGCACCTGCAGACCCGAGAGTTGACCGAAGCGCTCTACGATGTACTTCGAAGAATCTGCGTATCTGGTAAGTCTGGACCGTAATGGTCTGCTACTGTTGAAGTTCTGCATTCCTGACCATCAAGCTCGTCGGGCTGATATTCGCTCCAAGACACGCAGAGCTCCCGTCCCGCTTTATGAATAAAAGGTTGTGTGCAAATATACGGAAATATTTGTAAGGCATAATTTTATTTTTCCTCGAACGCAATAGCTTGCGGTTTAGCTTTTTGCAGTTTATTTTTTTCAGCTGCGAATTAAACCACGGTGCCAACGTCATGCAAAAAAACAAAGTCTTGTTTTGCTGCTGTGCTGTATATCGCAAAACCAACATCTACAGCTTATTTCGCTGGTCGTATAGCGGCACATTTACTTACATGTTAATCTCACCGTGAGATGATTGGAATATTTTAGTTAATTTTGGATCCGTCAAACTCGCCGCGGATTAACTTATTTTGAAGATGACCCAAATGGCATTGTAAAGCAATTATTGGAGGGCCTGGTTTGCATTTCATTTCTTTTGAGGTACATCCCCTTGCTCTTTAATGATAGAAAACTTATCGCACACGGCACCAGTGGCACTCTCTACCGTTGCCAATGTGATATTCGTCGGAGTGACCGCCATCATGGTGATGGCGTAGTGCTTGTTGTCCATCAAGACATGCCACTTCGGTGGCTTTGGATGTTTGTACTTGTGCAGCCCTTCGGGGCCTCCTGCAGAGCCAGAAATCACGTACACTGGTGCCTTTGGGTTGATGTAAGTCGCATTATCTTTGGAGACACCGTCCAGCATGGCGGTGCCGTTCGCCGTCGGGTATTGACGTTCGTACGCATGGACGTGACCTTGTAGAACCAGATCCACCTTGTACTTGATGAACAGTTTCTCGAAAGCCTCTTGCACGTTAAGCGACTCAAAGTCGTTGTTAGGCTTGTCGTCTGCGTCGCATGAACGGATCGTGTACATCGGTCGATGCATTCCGACAACAATCCACGGGACCTGGTCGCGGTTAGCGTCCGCAGCCTTGAGATCAGCTTCGAGCCACGCTAACTGATCGCCGAAGGGGCCGTACACTCGGTGCGTATGGTAGGCGTTACTCGGAGCATTCGGATAATCGGTCTCGGACGAGATCGTCGTGAAGTGTACGGACGCGTACTCGTAGGAATACCACATGTTCAGCACTCCCCCGCTTTCAGGCGCCTGCATCCTGAAGCGCGCGTTGAAAGCCGAGTAATTGCCGAGTTGATTCAGTTTTTTGTCGGAGAGAAGACAAGCTGGGGAATGGCATTCCGCCTCATGGTTTCCCACCAGTACCATGTACGCCATCCGCCTCATGATGTTGGTCATGGAATTCATAAACTTGTTGTACACTTGCTCGTAAAAGAAACCGAAAGCTATTTTAGCTGACAGAAACGCGTCGTCTGCATAGGACACGTCACCGAGATGATAGACGAAGTCCACCTTGTCCACCAGCGAGTTGACGTACTTGTTGGTCTCAACGGCGTTCGCATCGGCTCCCATATCTCCGTACACTGCGATCGTGAATGGACTTTGGTCGCCGCTTTTGCGAGCTGTGGCGAATTTGCTTATAGCACTTCGAAATTTGGCTTCAGAGGCGCTACCGACCTTGTAGAAATACGTTTTATTGGGCTTCAGACCTTCCACAACCGCGTGGTAGCTGTACAGCTCGTAGTGGTCGTCCTTGTAGTATGACTTTGTATCAATAGTAGCATCCTTTACCCGAGTTAGCTTGCTCTCAGTTGTGCCAATCCACACCGCTGTGTCTTCTTCACGAGCAAACGTTGTCCACGATATCGCCATACCCGTTCCGGCTTCTTTGCCGGCAAAAGCCAAGTGAAACTGCTGAGGAATTCGAGTCGAGTCGCTTGTAGAGCTCACACGACACGCGTCTGATGGCGTGTCGTCGCCGAAATGATACTGGATAGAGCATGATGCCTCAGGCTTACAGCTCAGTGAAGCCCAGTGGTAAGCACACGTGCTGTCGTCCACCGCACTACTTGAAGTCTCCGAGGCGGCATCCTGGCGGAACAAATCCTTCACCTTGTCCAAAATGCCACTTGGTTCGGCTGAAGTTGTTGACACGCAGCATACACTCACGGCTATTACGAGTCTTGCCAACGACTGCGTTCGCATCTCTGAGGGTAGCGCCCAGTCGGGTGTTGCGCGCAGTGGTAAATCTGAAAATGACCCTTGTTGCCTCGCTCACGGACGGTGTTCAGGGCACCGGTAGCAAAAGTACTCGATTCCATTGCATCCACCATCTCAAGATTGGGTATCGAGCTGGCCCGCCTCACCAGGAGCTTCATGAGTCAATACCCCTGACGAAGATGCAGCAACCGAGCGAGCAGCACTTGAACCTCCTACAACAACATTGTTGTAGCCAGTTCAGCCATCAAATCAGAAAATATTGAACCGGGATGCAGAGGCAAAGTCAACGCACGTTTTGGTACTTCGTACGCCACGAATGTGGGGCGCTGTAGGAAGTAATATAATAGTTGCTGTCCTTAATCATTGAGCAACGCAAGAGAAAATGCCGTGTAACTTACACAATGGAGAATGGTGAATAAATCGTTTATAACGCACGGTTTTGCATATTAGAACGGATCTTCTTCAGCCCACCTGAGCAATCCGGGAGTTGCGTTTAGATTTACTACTACTACAGTAGTGTATTCCCACATCAGAGGTTGCATGTAAACTCCATAAGCTGAAGTGTGTATCCGTCGTGGCTGTTACGTCCAGCAGAAGAAAAAAAAACAAGCTAGTTAACCTTTATCGAGTGCTATGTTTAGTCTCCAAACATTTACTGCTAGTGTCGGGCTAATTTTACCGTCATCTAGCATAGTCGACAACCAACAGCTTTTCATGCAGTACCAGACCAACTACCCGTACGCCACGAGCACGCAGCAATGCGGTGCGCTATCTCATGCACGCGAGGAACAGCGACGGCGGCAGCAAGAGTATTCTCAGGCTCTGGCCCAACAGGTCGCACAACGTGAACAGCAGAAACGCCGCGAGCGAGAACTGGATCAACCGTACGGCAGACGCAACAGCGGATTGCCGAATCCGCCTCAACACCATTTCCGTCAAGAAGCGTTCGAGCCAACTGAACGTGGAATGCTGGGCGGGTTGGGACACAACAACCCTCAAGACACACGACAGAGCTTTGCGCGGGGACAACCGCAGCTCCGTCACCGTCTACCTGGTGGTCCCGAATCCTTTGACTATTCTGCAGCAAATACTTTCATGCCAACGTACAATGCCCCTCCTGTGCAGCATCGACCTTCTGTAGATAATAACCAAGCTTTCCGAAATGGATTTGGAGTTCCCCAGCAACCTCATCCAATGCCACAGCAAAGCTGGCCACCACCACAACAGCAGCAACAACCTCTCAATAATGACCCCATGTCCGGGATGGTTGGGCCGCCCCCTTTTGGACCAGGCTCAGACATGCAAATGGGTTGGGGCGCTCCAACTTCTCACCAAAATGCTATGGCACCGACGAGAAACAGTCAATTCTGGGCAGGTCCGGGTACGACCGAGCAAGCTGCACCACCGGCAGTGTACCCTAACTACGGGTCTCCGCAGCGACAGCACTTCCAGCCAGGGAAGCCTCAAGAGGACCCGTCTAGACACCCAAACGCGCAGAATGCTGGACGTCGTCAGCGAACAGACATCCACGATGGGGGCCGAGGAAACTCGGAGGATGCCGAGAGGCTTCGTCGGAAACAGCAGCAGCAACTCGAGATGCAACTCGCTCTGGAGCGACAAATTGAGGAGAAGAGACAGCAGAAGCTGGAGGCTAAGCGACGACAGGAAGAAGAAGATCGACGAGAACTTGAACGCTTCGAGGAGGAGCAACGTCGGCAACGAGCGGAGCAGGAGCGACTTCAGGAGGAGAAACGTCGGAAGGCGGCACTGGAACAGCAGAAGGCGGACCAGGCTGCAGCAGCGGTGGCGGCGGCCAACGCGCAAGCCAAACGCCAGCAGCAACAGAAACTGCACGCTCAGCTGAATCAACCTCAACAAGTCCAGCCATTGCAACAGCAGAACCTGCACCCTCAACATCCTGAGCTCTTCCCGAACGCCTCTCCGCTCAAGAACCCGCTCACCAACTCCCGTGCTCACTTGTTCGAAGACCCCCCAGAGCCTCCACAATCCCCAGTGGCTCCAAACTATAGCTACGGATACTCCCACCAGAACGCGTCTCCAATCCGAGGACACCCAGGCCAACCCTTTGCGCAAGACAATAATGCTGGCCATGTTCTTGACCCCAAGGAGCTACGTCGTCAGTACGACGATATGCGCGACGAGTTGAGCAGACAGAGACACCTCGTCGACCAGCTCCGCCAAGCTCAAGCTCAGATCCAGCAACAGCGTTCGCCTGTGCGAGTGGTGAGCGACAATGTCCCCACGCTGATGGATCTCGAGCAACTCCGCAACGAACTACGTGGCGAACTTGCGTATCGCGAACAGCTGCACCGACAGGAACTAGAGTCGCTGAAACGAGAGCAGCAACAAGGAGACAGATTGCCTGAGCGCCCACCTCAGCGCTACCCACGAGTGAGGAATTCTTTAGAGCTACCGACCCGAATTCCCAACAGAGTTGAGCGTGTTTCGTCGCATCCAGTGGCTATTCAAGGGCAGGAAGAATCGATATGGCAACGAGGGTTTCCAGTAAGGAGACCACAGACTTTGCGCTCCAGTATCAAAGAAGTGGATCATCGCCATGGAATGCCACTTGATGAGAGCGTAATGTCGTTGCGGGGTGAAAGCAAGTTTGTGTATTTTGATGATGGACAGGACGGGGAAGCACTGGAAGAGCACAGTGACTCGACGAAAGTGAAGGCGCCTCTACTCTCCCAAAAGACCATTCAGAAGAGTGTCCAGTTCTCACCGACAAGGAAAGCTAGCGTCAAGCAGTCTGTCGCTGTAACGAGGTCGGTCTCTCCCCGAAGATCAGCGCAAAGTGAAGCTTCTGATACTGACAGCGACGACGAAGATCGTGGTTTTGTCGTGGCAGGCATCACGTCTTCTCCGTCGCACCAGCAGTTGACCTCTTCGCCAACATCTCATCGCGCCAGATCTGCAGCGAGCAGCCATCGGTACTCGCAGTTGCCACCAGCTTTGGCTTCGTCTTCATCTTTAAAGTCCTCGAATAAGTGGCGTCTTGAATCTATGGGCGCCAACGATAGTGACGAGGATCTGGATCAAAGTTTGGATGGCGATCAGCTCGAAGCTCTTTTCCAACGTAACGTCCGTCGGCACGAGATACTTTTAGGATTTCAGAGCAAGTTTCAAGGGCAGCCGCAATGCTCAAAGCAACTGAAAGACAATCGATCTCCCCACGCTAAACTGGCGTGGGCAGCGCTGCACCAGCAACTCGAGAGCAATAGACGGAAGTCGACGCTTTCCCAGCGACGGAAGTTGAGCGCAGCGTCGAACGAGTCAAATCCGGAACAAACTTTTGACGACGAAGCTGCGCTCGTGGCGTCATCAAGGTGGATGCCGCCTCCCAACCAAAGAACGAGAGCAATCAACAGATAAATGCCAGGTTGTTCTGGTTGTCGTTTGACCCATTAGACGCCTAAGTTGCTCTAATAGTCTATCACCCCCCCCCCTTCGTGCATGCAAGTAATTCGCTCTCTCTTGATGCCTTTTCTGGCCAACACAAAACTGCACTACACAAAACCCACACTTAGCTTATCACCAGTGAAGCCACGATAGCCAGCTGTGGTCCTGCTGGCTATCGTCGCTGTCATTGTAGCCCCAGTGGCCGCTCCAGTGCTGGTTGCTGCCCTGG